CCCCCCTAATTTTGCAATGCTGAAGTCATTCATAAAATTATAATTTAGTCTAAGGGCGATATATCAAATATCGGCCATCATACATTGGCAAACCACAACCGATTATGATAAGAAAAAAACACTAAGGGCGATATAATCATATTGGCCATCATACATCGGCAAACCACAACCGATTATGATAAGAAAAAGCCACTAAGGGCGATATAATCATATCGGGCATCATACATCGGCAAACCACAACCAATTATGATAAGAAAAAACCACTAAGGGCGATATAATCCATATCGGCCATCTAAAGGCGATATCATCACATCGGCTAGCATGTATTGGCAAAAATCAGCCGATCATGAATTAATCCATACACTTGTGTAAGATTTCTTCAAGTACTTGCCATTAAGTGATTGGGATGATGTTCTCAACGTCAACCTCCGCTGGTTGATCGGACGCTTGCTTGGTAGCCGGGGGATTTTGCTTGCCGCCCGACATGATGAAAAATCGCTCAACTCGTGCCCCACTGGGCGTGCCAAAAGCGTGTTGATGCGAAAAACACACACTGGCCTGGAAGATCTGCTTAACTCCTGTGCAGGTCCTAAATCGTGCTTTTAGGTTCAAGGCGATTTGATCCTGCATTCAACAAGAAAGAAAGACAAGAAAAAACCACGGTCAAATCCATAAACGATAGCCGATCGGTTAGTTGCCGATGACATATCATTTATCTTCAAGCCGATGTCATGTTGGAATCGATCGGCAGTAATGAATGAATAAGATAAGACTAAATCTACTCGATCGGCTGTAGATATTAGTGATATATAATCTTTCCTTCGATGTATGTTTAAACTAAGTGATTGGGATAGATCGGTCGCCATGCCGAGATAGTATAAATCACTCAAGTCAAAAGATACATAAAAGCAATGATTATATAGGCATTTATAGCATAGCCGATCAGATAGATCTAGCATGTATCGGCTAATACTCCGATACCACTTTATACTAAGATATTAAAATAAGCAAAATATATCAAACAAGAAAGCCTAATATACTCTGGTGCGATGAGATCTTAATACAAAGGGCAGATTTAGCATAACAATCAAGCATATGAAGGCAAAAGATGCTAAATCAGGAAATATCGGCTAAAACTCCGACACTATCTCAATTGATAATCATAAAACAAGCTAGATATTATAGTTATAGATAATACTTAATAGATCGAACTTAACCGATGCAGCATTAAGCGTAAAGATAAATGTAAGATCTAAGCAAGATGATGAAAACCTCTAAAAGATGGTAGATGTGCTGTATAATCTAGATTAATAACAAGATCTAACTCTATCGGCTACTATTTAGCAGTAAAAACCAACCGATTGCGGGTTAGATAGAATCACTAATAAAGATTATAAAGTGTATATAATAACTCGACGAATTACATAAACAGGATTAGAGTGTCATGAAGATGAAAGCACTAATCCCGAAAACGCAAGCCACCATGACAAGTTTACTTCTAGTTGAAGATCGAAACTGATGCAGCTCAACCCGAAAGCAAGAACTCGTCGAAACAAACGAACCTGAAAAAGGGTGGCAATGCGCCGAGATTGTTATTGAACGGTTGTTGTTAAATTACATGGGTTCGGTTTTATTTATACCCGAGATACATGATATGTCCTTGCCGGACACGACTATTATCTCTAACAAACTCTAAGATACACATAAGTCTTTACGGCAGACTTTTGCCCAAACATATCTCTAAGGAAACTATTTAAAATATCCTAATTAATAGATACAATTGCCTATCTGGGAGCTTATCTCTATGATGGCAATCCTTTCGTAGCACTCTGATCGATCCCAGAAACGATTTCATAACCATCTCAATGAAATCGGCTGTATCGGCTGTCCCCTGTCCAATGTCATCTCAGCCGATGCAGACTCTAGCCGATACCTCCGCAGCCGATGCGCACTCTATTCTTCGATCACAATCCCTTTGCCGAATCCACTTCGATTCAAATGCCGAACTTGGTTCATTACTTACCAAATTTGGTCGTTAACACCACCCCCTATCAAACGTCATAAAACGAAATGGCATAGTGACGAATAGCACCATCGTCATGAGGAATTTGTCACAGAAGATCACATTTCTTGTAGTGTGCGGCGCTAAACGGCGACGGCAATGCGACTCGGCTAGCGGCGGCGGCGCGCGGCCGGCAGTGACGGTGGTGGCAGCGGCGCATGGCCGGGACGGCAGCGGTGCTTAGCGGCGGCGACGCTAGGGTTTTGGTGGGGTTACACTTTTAGGGTTACAACAACAACGCTTAAAGAATTAACACCTAAACTAGGAGATCACGAGAAGGTTCCTCACCAAACCGAGACGATCGGCGAGCTGGAGACGGCGACGACGATCCGGCAGTAACACACAGAGGCTACGGCGACGCTAGATGAGAAACAAACTGAATAGATTAAAATGATGAATTGATGGTTGCAGCGGCAAACACATCAATAAAGAGGGAAAATGGAGTACTGGCGACGCAACGGCGATGATGACGACGCGGCAGGCGGCGGCACAGCAGACTGACGGCGGCGGGGATAGGGGTCGCTGGCGGCTAGGTCTAGGGTTTTGCAATATGAGGGAAATAATAAAATTGAGGGGTATGAAGACTTATATAGGGGGAAAATATATGGATTAGGTGGGTCCTACTAGGACTAGGATTGGGAGGAGAAGAGGGAGGAACCGAATAGGAGGAGAAGAGGGGCTCGGTTCGGCCGGCTAGGGAGGAGGGGCGCGCACGGCCGAGAGGGAGAGAGGGAGGGCAGCGGCCGAGAGGGAGAGGGCGAGGGGTTGGATTAGGATTAGGACTTTCCTAAATCGGAAAGGAAAAACGGTGCCGTTTTGGGAAAAGAACGGAAATGGAACCGGAAGCGAAATCGGACTTGGCTCATCATGCAAAACGAAAACGCGGAGGCACGTACGAAGAGAGGAGTGAATTGGGCATGATTCACGACCAAAGGCAAGAAGAAAAAAATAATTATTATTAATTCAAATCCTGCCAGTTTAAGTTAACAACATTAATCCCGATGCTCTGAATATTCCGCTTTAAGTCCCGTTAATGATTTTAGAGCAAAGAGAATTCAAAAAAATTCTCCCTAACATTTTCGATTATTAAATACATTGTTACTTAAGGTTTTCTCCCGGTTAACCAAAGTAATTTCTATAGATAATTTATTGACGAATTAGAAACTACGGGAAAGGGGAAAACTCCGGGTGTGACACATACATATAAGCCAATCATGGAGATCAATCTGAACTTAGCTTCTATCTCTACTCAACGGGACGTCTCTCGACCATACAAAGAAGCATGCATAATTTTTGTTAATCTATCTGTCTGCTTCCTCTTTCCTTTAAACATAATTGTTTCTTCCTCTAAGACACCATGTGCTACCACCTAGATGCCACACAATTACATTAAAATTCATCGAATGTTGACTCCAGGATCTACCATCAACCATCGCCTAGGTGCATGGAACAACACAAATGCACAATTCAGCGAAGGTTAATTCCAGGGTTCTAGTCCTCTAAATATTGCCGTCCATATATATAGCTACAGATCATGTTGTTTTTGCTTCTGGGGTTTTGTCAATTGCAAGGGAGTTCGACATGGCCACATCTCGAGTCGGGACAGAGATATATTAGCAAGACGATGTCTACGAATATAATTCAGAAGCTTGCATGATGAGATACGTATACGGTTATGTAATGGTTAGATGGGCTCTAGACGGGCTTTAAAATTGGATGGATATTAGATCGCTTTAAAGGTGTGATGTGCGATTTGATTTTATGACCAACGGTGAAGATTATCCTATCGATTTGATCAAAGGCCATATTTTCCTAGTTAACTTGGGAGCTTGTAGAAAGTGCTCAATTATTATAGATATAGATAGATATAGAAGGTATATATTTGGAGCTATCTCTCTATACTTGTGTGTACAACGTAGATATCTTTGCTATGAATTAATGTCAGTACCTAATGATAAATCGTAGAACATAGGTACCTTTGCCATTCGGATATCTTGCAAAGAACTGTAAAAATGTAAATTAAACTATAAATTAACGTTACCTCAAAAATTTTAGTCGATTTAAAAACATGAAAAAAATTTGTACTGAAAACAAATAAATGGTTCGTTATTTATACACTCTGATATCAAATTCTGATTCTCAAAATATATAGATCTAACTTCAATTAGTACCATTTGGTAATAGAGCAACTACACGCAGTGGCTTAGCACTGCGGTTCATCCGGAACCATTGGTGATGGATTAACACTGGCTGTTCGGGCAGAAAAATGATTGTGTGGAGGGGAGCATTCAAGTTCTATATACAACACTGAAAATTTTAAATAACTCCTGTACATTGTAGTTTGAGTCATAAATATTTTGAAAAAGTACTTGGAAATCTCATAATCTTCTCACATAGATATTTGACGTTGAGAAAAGATTTGGTTGAATTTTTCAAACTTAGATTTGAATATCAATTTTATATTTAAAAAAGATGATAAAAGTACGAAAATACTGTGATACTCCTTTTGAAGAAAATCTTTTATTTTAAAACTAAGCATTTGAGAAGTTATTGATGGTAAAAAGTTCAATCGATCTGAAATATATGAATGGAGCAATATATGACCTCAGGGATTACATTTTATAATTTTGTGTATACTTTTGTCAACAGAACGACTACAATGAAATAAAAATATTGAACAATATTTGTAGATTTATATATTTGTACCAGAGTACGTACAAAATGACACTGTTCTGAACTAAGACCTGATCCATATATATTATTGTTCCTCCCTAGACCTAATTAATTATAACCTCATTCATAACGTCTTGCTGACTACAGAAACTAACAAAAACTAGACAGCATTTACTCATATAAACTATCAAAATTCTATTAATAATCTTCATCTTGACGGCACCTACTTAATCAGCATCCATTCTCTCTTGCGCTATATATAAACTTACGCAGATGGCCCTGCAGAATAAAATTAAAGCAAAACATGAACAAGTAAGGGTACAGAACTTATCGTAGAGTTAATTCAGGATAGATAAAGTTTAGCATATCTCAGTTTTTTTCCAGAATGAATTGTTAATTATTAATTACCCGGAGATGGAGCAGCAGCGGGAGTAGGAGCAGGCATCAACGGCGGCACTGGTCCCGCTGTCAAACATATATAACATGGATAAATCAATCTTTTCGAACACAAACATTACATGTATACATAAGATTGAATCCACACAAAACAATTGAAAAAAAAAGTATATACAGGTGAAATTCAGAAATAAGTTGCAGCAAACAATAGAGAAAAGAAGCTAATTAAAACTTACTGAAGCACTTGGTCAGAGCCTCGACAGGCGGGGCGACGCCGCAGGTGGCCGGAAGAGACATCATACGTGCGAAATCGATCGGCGCCGGCATGAACTTGCTGATGTCGCCGTTGATGCCATGGCAGAGGCAGATGGGCGCCTTCTCCACAAGCGACTTGAAGCTGTCGCAGCCGATACTCGGGGGAGCCGGCTCGTCAGCCTTGGTCAGATACTCCATGCATGGCATCAGCTGCATCAGCGACGACAGGCACTCTGTGATCACCTGTGGTGTGGTAGACGTTGACAGTGCGCTCTGGGAGTTTATGGGGATTTGTGCTCCTGGTGATCCAAGAGTGATAGGAATTGATGGCAGTGGTGGCAATGGCAGGAGCCCCGGGATTTGGATCGTCGGAAGTTGTGGCAATGGCGGGAGCCCTGGAATTTGGATCGTCGGAAGCGGTTGCAATGGCGGGAGCCCCGGGATTTGGATTGCTGGAAGTGGTTGCAATGGCGGGAGCCCAGGGATCTGGATCGTCGGAAGTTGCGGCAATGGCGGGAGCCCTGGGATTTGGATGGTCGGAAGCGGTTGCAATGTCGGGAGCCCCGGGATTTGGATCGTCGGAAGTTGCGGCAATGGCGGGAGCCCCGGGATTTGGATTGCTGGAAGTGGTTGCAATGGCGGGAGCCCTGGGATTTGGATCGTCGGAAGTTGCGGCAATGGCGGGAGTCCTGGGATTTGGATCGTCGGAAGAGGTGGCAGTGGCGGGAGCCCTGGCAATCCAACCAGAGATGTAGATGGCTGGCTGACGTCGGCAATGGCGTTCACTGCAGGTTGTTGTTGTTGTTGTTGTTCCTGATGCACGACATCGACGGCGACGGTGGGCTTGAACACCTGGGCGTCCCTGGCGGCCGCCGACGGAGGCAGCGAGGCGGCGACGGCGAAGAGGGCGAAGACGACGACGAGGATGCTCTTGGAAGGCGCCATCTGCATGAAGAGAGGCTCTGGTGGTTTTTCTTGTGTGTTGGTTGATGTTCGTTATTGCTGGACGACAACTGGTTTGTTTATATAGGGGCTACCGTATGCAGATAGAGAGCGTTTAAACACTCTTTGTAAGAATGCTGGTCTCTCTGCTTTTTTAATTTCTAGCTCACGTACGAACGTAATCACATGGGTCAGCATTAACTTAATCTTGCAGATAAAATAGTTTATCAGTACTTATCGGCATACGATGAAATTTTGTAGTCATGTGATCAGTCTTAAGACGCAATGTTTCTCCGTTAAATAGTGTAGTTTGATAGATGAAAGACTTAATTCATTAAATAAAGTGTGGTTAATTAATTTACGACACATCCATGATTGATCGGATGATATATGACTCTTTTGTTGAGTGAGGACTGCGATAATTAACCGTAGTCATGAAAGAGTCTATTTAACTTGCATCCTTTGATACAGATATATATTTTTAGATAATGCTGATTTAATTAAGTAGTAGTAGAAGAAAACATGCATGCTTACGTACGCTAGCACTCGCTCGTTGAATCCGTAGCTTCTCAGCATAAGATGTAGATTATTGGATGCTTTCTTGTCCCAGCCCTGTACTATATATACGTACGTACGTTCGTGTGCCTTACATGTCATATGATCGACAGGATTGCTTTAGATTAAGTTATTTATAGGTTACGAGTTGGCGACGAGTCCATGTAATGTCCCGAGCATATAAAGTTCAATTTGCAGTCCCGTATATCAATTTGCAGTGCTAAAGTTACAGCGAGCTGAATTGATCACGCGGTTCCGAGAGGAAATAAGGCCATCCCGAATCCTACCTATTATCTAGTTTCTATAGCATTAAATATATTACCACATAAACGAAAATCCTATGTGGTAAGAGAGTTAATGAGTAGAGAGGTAAAAAAAATAAAGAAACCATCTCTACACAAGAACCAAGAATAAAAACAAGAAAATGGATGGATAAAAGAAGAGAGAAGAGAAGTGATTGGATGAGAATTTAATTTGAAGACACCATCCATTGAATACATAGTTTTTACACATAGTGTCTATATGACATGGCAAGTATAGAAACTACTTGATAGTTTCTGGGTTAGGGATGGCCTAAAAACTACTACGGAATTGATTTTCTATGTTGCAGGTGGATCATAATTGCTTTCACCTACAAAAATCGATCTCCCTAGAGTTGTTAAAGACCCATCACAACAGCAGAAACTATCATTCGTGCTAGCTGCAAACCAACAAAGATGTCGGATTTCCCAACCGGCACCTAGAAGGCGGCATTGATGTAGATGAAAAACAGGTGCCGATTTAGGAACTAGCACTTTTGAGGCTCCATAAATTAAAAATATATATATTGGCTCGATGCATCGGCGATGGTGGCACTACTACATACCCTATTTTTCCGTGCGGACGTTTTGATTATCTGGTACGGTGGTTCGGCCCGTCTACAGCCGCGTGTCTGGGAAATTGGCATTTTCACGTGCGGGCGGGCTGACCGCACGGGATAATCGATTATCCCGTGCGGTTGACTTAACATGACCGCACGGTATAATCGATTTTCCCAGGCGGTCATATTAAGTCGATTATCCCGTACGGTTAAGTTATACCACCCGCATGGAAAAAAAACGGACAAAAAAAATAAAATCGAAAAAATCCGATCGGATCGCCGTCGTCTCTCTTTAGTCCAGTGTCCAACCCCGCACAGGCAGCCGTACCTGAGCGCATAGCTAGCCTTTCTCGATCCTAATCCCAAAGCTACCATTTCTCGAGCAAAGAAACGGCAACCAGCCGATCCACTGTGCGACGCAACACAAAGTTTGCAAAACCATGACGAAAAGAAGAAAAAGGCTGGCCGATCGCTCCGCCTCCGCCAGCAGTCGTCGTCCTCGCGCCGTCGTCGTCGCGCTGCCGCTCATCATCGCGCCGCCACTCGTCATCGCCGTCGTCATGACGCCCGTGCGCTCAGTGGGAGGCAGAGAGAGAGAGGAGAGGGGGATGTGAGGAGAGGAAAGTGGCAGAGAGAGAACATGAGAGAGGGGAGGAGAGGAAAGAGGCGTGTGGGAGAGAATAAAAAGAAAAGGAAGAGAGATTGTGTGAAAAATTGGAAGTGGGTGAGAGGGAAAAGAGTGGAGAGAGAGAGTGTGAAAAATTTGAAGTGGGTGTGAGGGAAAAGAAGGAATGTATTTTCCCGTGTGGTCCACTTAAGAGGTCCGCACGTGAAAATCGATTTTTCCGTGCGGTCCTCTTAAGTCGACCGCACAGGATAATGGGGATTATCCTATGTGGTCGGATTAAAACGCCCGCATGGGAAAATGAGTTTTCCCGTGCGGGCGACGGCCCGGCGCCAGTCTCCCTATTTTCCCGTGCAGTTTCACTTACAACCCGCCTGAAAACAAAAGGGTTCGGTGTCCAGGAAAATATTTTGTGTAGTAGTGTGGGGGCAGCTCTCCATCATCGATGATATCAGCATCATCCCCATCAACCAAACACAATCAAAATCATCACAGAAATCATCCAAACACAGCCACAAAAATGAAGAAAATTGCAAACACAAACACATGCCCACCATCGCCGTCGTCGATCTAGCCGCGTCACAGCAGCTAGTGGCAAAGAGCAGACCACGGGCGGTAATAGCGGAGAAGGCAGCACCCCACTGCGGTGGAGAGGAGGAGAGCCGCCGGTGGGATGCCAGGGGAGAGAGAGAGGAGGGGAGCCACACCGTGGTAAACCTGCGGCCTCCCCTCCCGCAAGATCTGGCGGAGAGGAGAGTTGTCGTCACCTGTGGGTAGCCTGCCGTCTCCCCTCCCACCGGATCTGGCAGAGGGTAGAGTTGTCGTCGCCTGTGGGTATCCTGCCGCCTCCCCTCCCACCGGATCTGGCGGAGGGAAGAGCCACCATCGCCCGTGCGTAGCCCACCGCCGCTGCCCGTGGAGAGCCCGCCGTTGTCGCCGCCTCTCCTCCGGCCGGATCTAGTGGAGGAGAGGGCGCCGCCACTGCTGCCAATACCTCCCCTCCCATCGGATCTGGCAGAGACAGGGAAGGCGCTGCTGCCACTGCCTCTCGAGAAAGAGAGAGGTGCGTGAGAGAGAGAGAGGTAACGGCTCCTCTCCTTTTCTGCTCCTCAATGCTCACGGCTTGGTTTTTACAGGTGTCAATCTACTAAAAAATCGGCACCTTGTTAACAACAGAATTTTGCATCATACTCGGAGGAGGAACAAATCGAGGCAGATTTGGTGCGGAATCGAACTGGATTAGGAGATAGGCTGTGCATCGGCTGGACATCGTATCAACTGAAAATAGAGATGGAAACAGACTTAGGCTACGTTCGTTAGGAGTAGTTCCCAACTCCTCCTTGTCGTTTTCCGCCCGCACGCTTTTCAAACTGCTAAACGGTATGTTTTTTAAAAAAAGTTTATATACGAAAGTTACTTTAAAGAATCATATTGATCCATTTTTTAAAAAAAAAGATAAAACTTAATTAATCACGTACTAAACGCTGCTTCGTTTTACGTGCCGGAGACTGAGGGTTCCCAACCCTCACTCCCGAACAGAGCCTTAGCCGATATGCCAGATAGCCAATACGGATTGATTTAGGCTCGGGTTGGGCCTAGATTGGAATAACTGATATTGTCGTATAGAGATTGAGCTAATTTAAGGTAATTTTATCTATTAATTAGGATATTTATACCGGTTTGAATTAGAGATATGGTAATAGTCAGCCATGTGGACTTGTTCAAATTTTATCTTTAGCAAAGTTTTGAATCACGTCCATAATGGACAGGTTTTGTACTCGGGGTATAAATATAAGCCCCAAATCATTGTAATAAGGGATTGAATCCAATCAATACAACTTTCGGCGCATCGCCATCCTTTTTGCTTTACTTTTCGACGAGTTCTTGCTTCGAGTCAGCGCATCGGCTGCGATCTCTCGACAAGAGGTAACTTGTCTCGATGACTTGCGTTGTCTGGGCTACTATGTCATTTTAGATGTATTAGTCATTTTATCGTAGTCATTGCTATCATATATCCTAGTTAATATAGTGTTAGTATCTCGATTTAGTCCTATCGGTTGATACTCGTTTTAGGGTTTATGTTGGTATCAGCTAAATCGTCTTACTAGATTAGATTAACTAAGATATCTACCATCCTAAAAAGTGATTAACTTCTTGATTGTTTAAACTTTATGCTTCTTTATATACTTTGTGATGCATCATCCCTAGCCATATTTAGAATCATAAAAACTGACCTGGAGTTAACCATAATTAAGGATAGCATCAGGGTTTCAGCCGATATTACCTAATATGCATGATAGCGCATGTTTCATGATCTGTTTATGTATATTTGCCACTTATATGATCGAATTTCTTTATAAAAATGCATCAAGTTAGATTGATCGGCTGGGTCCTGATGATACGTCATCGGCCCTATCGGCCGATCGGCTATCGTTCATCTAATTATGTTTTCTATTTTCTCTTGTTTGTTGTAGATCAAACCAACCTACACGCTCTTAGCACTCAAGGCTTGGGACCGATTGCAGCAAATATTTCACCACATATTCAGTCATGACAATTAAAATGTTGTTTGACACAATTTGTCTTCCTTAGCATCCTAGCTTGTTATAATTTATATAGTTACTTGGGGCTGTTATTTGAATCTGAAGATATTCCTACTTGGTTTAATTACTTCGGCATTTTTTTCTTATTGACCAAACCTTTCAAAGGAAAAACTCTTTAAAAATTTCAGGAGCAATTGTATTTCCAAATTTGATTAAATTTTGGGTATGTTACATTATTAGGTAAGTGGACAGGACTACAATTCGGTGCTTGTCCCTAACAGTGATTGCAATTCCGGTAATTTCATACCCCACTGGCAAATCAAAATTGAAGGTGCATTTATCCCCCTAGTGGGTTTTGGTGATTAATAACAATGTGGTTATGGGACTAATGAGTTTTATTGAGCTATACTCAGGTGCTTTA